AGAAGCCGGCGGGCCCCCGTCTCCCGCTCGCTGTTGACAGGGTGGTCTCTCCGTCCAGCTCTGCAGGAGGATTTGGACAGGAAGCTGTTCGGGCAGCACCTGGTGAACAAGGTGGTTGTAAAGGCCGTGAAGGGCTTCTTGAACAACACCAACGCCAAAAAGCCTCTTGCCCTCTCCTTGCACGGGTGGACTGGAACAGGCAAAAACTTTGTCAGTAAGATAATTGCCGAAAGCATTTATAAAAGAGGTCTGCAGAGTAAATATGTCCATCAGTTTGTGGCGACTTTACACTTTCCTCACGCTCACAGCATCAATCTCTACAAGGTAAGAGTGCGCTTGTGGAATGCGTGGTGGTGGGGCACAGCTCTCCTGCAGTGACTGCTGTATTGCTTCGTAAATGTTATGGCATGATCAGTTGTGGAAAACTATGTTACTTTATCCAGTAAAATGTAGCCTGTGCCAGTTTTGGAATCTTATGTATAAGATATAGAACTGGGTAAATCCTAACATCCATCAGGACTGGTTTTCCTGCAAATGTCAAGATACTTGCATGTGTTTTGAGTTTTTCTCTAGGGAAGAACAATACGGTTATTTTTTGTTCTACACTTTGCTTAGAGATGTAGCTGACTCAAGGACAAGTTTTTTTGGTTAGGTGATATGCTGGTGGGCACTGCGGAAAAACTAATCGTTCATGACCCTGGGGAACCACCCGGTGACCTCTGAGCCTGTCGGGTACCATGGCAAGCTGAAGCTTGCTCTCTGAGGCATGAGTGTTCTTTTCATTTTTACTTGCACACTGAGCAGGTTATTTAGTTTTTCTGTGCATCCATTTCCCAGCTGCAACATAAAATCAGAAAATACTCTGTTGTCAGAAAGGTACAGATAAATGTATTTGAAATTGTTCTGCCAGTTTGGTGTCAGCACAGCTCTGTAGGCAGGTGGATATCATGTTGGAGCAGTAGTTCACATGCATGTTTCCCGTGGTTTTTTTATTCTAACTGATTTTGTTAACAGCAGAGTTTGAATGAGTACCACTGGCTTTTGTAGTACTACATGTTTATATTCTGTTTGTATATGTTAAAAATGGGAATGTGATGGTCTACAAACCTGATTTCTAAATGGAGGAAATATCTGTTTCCTCTCTTACAGCTTACTTTTCCCCTTCTTGCAGCTGAGCTGCTTTAAAATAAAATGGATCCTTTTCTGCTTTTGTTTCAAGGTGATTACACGTGGGAAACTTGCTGCCCAAGGCAGTAGGAGGAACTATCACTATTTATCGACGATAAATCTAGTGCTACTTTCCTGTGCTGCTTCTGCAGTTCAGGGGCTGAGTAAACTGAATATCAAGAAATGAATGATTCATTGAAAATGGTCAGAGTGGTTACTTCTCATTCATCTGCCAGCAGATCAATCCTTTTTTTTTTCTGATTACTTCATTATTGATCTTAAATGTAACGCTTAAGTGAGAGAATCTTTAAATACAATAAACCATTAGCCCTTCTGAACAATATTGTGTTTTAAGAAGGGCTTGTAATTGCCTTCTTTTAATTTCTGAATTATTCAAACACAGGGCTGAGAATTGAATTTTGTTTCTACTTCTGCCAATGACTGCAGCTGCAACTTCTCACTGGTGCTGTTCATGTAGCAAATTTAATATTGTTCATAGCTTTGACACCTAAGGATATTTAGACCAAAGTGCTGCCAAAAGTAATCTTATTTGGCAGGCTTTGCTTTGTGTTGCTGTTCCTTGGTGGTACCCATCCTTTGTCCTTCTGTGCACTTTCATTTTTGATATGTTTACAGGAATATCTTTCTCACAAGGAGATTTCTTGCTTGTCCCATCCTGTCTCTTGGTGTCTTAAGTTTTTTTCAGAACCAGCGTGAGATTCTGTTAGTTTTATTTACAGCTTTTAACCATGTCTTAGTCAAGAAGCCAGAGGGGTTAAAATGTCACAATTGGAATGACTCAGGACAAACGTCAATAAGCAGAAGTGCTATTTTCCGTCTATTCAACATGAACCCTTTCAGCATCTTCTATTTTGTGCCACTCAGGACCAACTGCAGTCGTGGATTCGGGGAAATGTGAGCATCTGTCCCAGATCGCTCTTCATATTTGATGAAATGGATAAAATGCATGCAGGACTCATTGACTCCATCAAGCCATTCCTGGACTACTATGAGCTTCTGGATGGGGTGTCTTACCGAAAAGCCATCTTCATATTCCTCAGGTAAGAAGTGACTTCTCAGGTTTGCTGTTCTGTACCCTTGATGTCTCTTAAAACTACCTCCGGTTACAATCTTTGTTTTCTCTTTACTTAGCAATGCAGGAGCTGAAAAGATAACAGAAGTGGCACTAGATTTCTGGAGAAACGGGAGGGCAAGGGAAGATATACAACTCACAGATATGCAAAATGCACTGTCTGTGTCAGTCTTCAATAACAAAAATAGTGAGTAAAACTGATTGCGTTTGAGGTGGTTAAAGTTCTGCAAAAGGGCTGGGCTGCATTTAATGCGCTTTTACAGCTATGGCTTGTACTTGGTGTGGCCTCCAGTTTTCATCTAGCAAGGAGTCACGATGCAGTTTTGGGGCCTACAGTTGGGTCTTGAGATGAAATGAAAGTTAGGGAGCTCTGTGTGCACCCTGGCTACCAGCATGCTTGCTGTCCATTGGATTGTATACATTGGGGGAAGTCTACGCTGTGTTGACATTGTATTTATTGACACGCTAATGGGCTGAAGAGAAAGCAAACATAAATCTAGACAATAAGGCTAGATATTGTATTAGCTGAAAAATCCTTAACCAATAAAATGTTTTATTATGGGAAGCCGCTTCCTTGGCCCCCAAGCCACTTAGCCTGTCTTGCTCAGTCTGTTAAAAGCCTTCGGACAGTTCTTTAGAGCTATTTATGGGGAACAAACTGACCTGCCAGCCCTGCAGTGCTTGCTAGTGCTTCCTACACAGGACTTCTGGTGAAAAGGGCTTTTAACATAATTATGCTCTAAAATTAGTATTAGAAGTGAACCTACTGCATTTTTAAAAAAGATTAGATACAGCATGTGAAAAAAGGAGCAAGACAGGCTGGTCTGAGAGAGATGATAAGAGATAGAAAATCTGCTCCTCTGTAGGTGGGAGAGGTGAAGGTATGAGACTAGCACCTGGGCAGCAAGGCTGAAATGCATTCAGTTTAGAATTATAGAATCATTTGATCAGCTCCATTCAGTTGGAATTCATTCGTTCAGCTCCAGCAGACCACATTTGTGTCTGTCCAAGACTTTATGCACAAAGTACCACGACAACTGGCTTGTATTTGGACTGACTTGTCCATTATAGGGCCCTAAAACCACAGATGAATGCTTACTGGTTTGTAGCAGAGCACTACAACACACATCTTGCTCCCATTCAACCCATAGCAGTGTTTAACTAGAGGAGTTAAAACCCTTGTCTTTCTCTTTGTAGGTGGATTTTGGCACAGCACCTTGATTGATAGAAATCTCATTGACTACTTTGTTCCATTCCTGCCTCTGGAATACAAACATGTGAAAATGTGTGTCAGGGTTGAGATTGAATCACGTGGTTATGTTGTGGATGAAGACATTTTAACGAGAATAGCCGATGAAATGACCTACTTCCCCAGAGAGGAGAGAATTTATTCAGATAAAGGATGTAAAACTGTGGATGCAAAGCTGGATTATTACTATGACTTCTAATGCTTTATTGCTACAACCTGCAAAGAAGCAAATTTAACTTAATCACAAAGTGGAGAACCCAGGACATTTCATTTTTAAGCACTTTTTAAAGAAAGGAACGTTATTTTTTAACTGGTGTGTAAGTAAGCGACAGTGCCTGTGCATTTTTATTCTGTCACTAGTCACGGCTCCCACGTACTTCAGCCTTGTGTTGTCAAGGTAAGAACGAACTGCGTTGTGCATACAGGGGTTCGTGTCTGACAGTGCCGAAGACTCCTCTCGGATTGTGGTGTCGATCGTCAGAACCATTTGGCAGATTGTTGGCATGTATAGAAGGACTGAGACTATGACCTAATTTTAGTTGGAATTTGGTTTGATGTGGATGATCTTTAGACAATATCGAGAATTTTAATCAAAGTTCCTGTAGCAGTGAAACCCTTCATTGGGTTTGTGTGGGAATAGTCCTACAACTGCATTAAAAGTAGGATATGTGTCTTTTCTCCTTGAACAGCTTGTTTCCAGTAAGCATAAAGGGGGAATTCTGTAATTAAGAAAAAAATCTGGAGTCTTCTATCCAACATCGTGCAGTACCACTGTATTTCTCAAAACAGTGGTATAAATTGGCTTCCTGCATGTCAAACCAAGAATATGAAACTCTTTGGTGTGAATAGTGTTCCGAGGGCGGACTTAATACTACCAGGAAGTGAGTTAAAATCCTTGACTGCCACATCAGTGTAGCTGGTTCCTATTTTTGGTTATTTTTTTAATGCATGAAGTTGCCCACAGAATACTCTCCCAGGACTGATGTTCTCAGGAAGTAGAAAAGTGTGCTTTCTGACTGGTGAGTCAGCTTCACAGAAAGCATTAACATGTTAAGGGGAAACATGTACAAGTTAAATTTTACACGAAGGAAACGGAAAAGAGGTTTCTCCTCTTCATCTACATGTAGAATTCAGGGGCCAGCTTGCAGGGTTTTCCCTTTTTCATTTTCTCACAATACTGTATGCCTTTGAGGCAGGGATGAAGACAGATCCAAAGGCATTTGGGAAAAAAAAAAAGAGAAATGTGTCGACTGAAGTTACTGCGAAGAGTGTCAGACTTGTTTCTGAATGTGAGCACTGCAGAGGCTTTTTTTCACTCCAGTTTCTATTCAAAATAAATTTTTGTCATTGGAAATTTATTTCTTAACTACCTTCTGGTGTTTTTTGCATTGAGTGATTTGATGTTAATTGTGCACAAACTTAGGACTTGTTGAGGAAGAGCATACTACATTTCTGGCTGAAGTGTTCAGCTGTGCTTGAATACAGGTCCCTCCCTTCTTGAGTTCAAAGGGAATGGATACGAGGAGGAGATGTGACTCTGCAACCTGGTGAAAGGGAAACAAATGAAGCTTGGAGTGGAAACTGCACTTCTAGACCATCGGTACTAATTACACTTGCACGGTTTTTGTAGAGGCAGACTTTCTAGATGTGTATGTGCTCAACAGTAACATAAGGATGAACTTGTCTTCTAGAAGACTCGTTAAAACCCTGCTTCTCATCTCCTCCTCCCACTGTGGTACCACTGACTGAACACCCTGCAGGCTCTGATTGAAGCCACCCATGTTTGCAGCAGCAGCAGCAGCACCTTGAAGTTTTCTCCACAAGGGGAAAAAAAGGGCCTGTAAGACTTCAGCTGTCCATTTCTACTCTGAAGTTGTATAATATCCAAATTATCAGTCCTAGTATTTGTCAGCAAATTAGTGTTTTGAACTTGGGTATTTATCTGCTGCTTTGACTTCCTGATGATAGCAAATGACTAGCTAATGGAAAAAAAGCAGACGTGAAAATGATAAACTTTTACTGCTGTATGATACTTTCTCATCAAAAGAAATAGTTCAGCCAAGCAGTCCTGTAGCTCTTCCAGCATTAAATACACTGTTAGTTCTGCTTTGTGTGCCATTGCAGCATCAATACTAGCATTTGACATACATCGGTAGCAAGTATTTCATTATATCATAGTCCTAGGTGGCTTAGAGTAGATGGAAGCTTCCTTGAGAGGATGTAGAAATGATGTTCAAAGGGTGGAGACTGCCTCTGTTTAATCTCTCTTCTGTTCTTGAGAACAGCAGACCTGGCTAGGGCCATCTCCTGCATCTGGGTGAAAGAAATGTGTGTGCCTGAAATCACTGCCAGATTATTTGATCCTGCTGATCCTGTCATTATTCCTTCCCTTTTGAATGCAGGGTTTCAAAACTGAGCTCTCTATCTTTCTTGCTGTGACTGGGTAACTGTGGCCATTTTTCTTTTTAATAGGCCACTTGAAACGGTATCAGACAACTTAAAGGAAAATGCCAAATGGGGGGAAAGGTCTGATTGCCCAGAGAAACAGTCCATTGGCCAGGTGAGAGTAGCTGAGCAGTTTGCTGAGGCTGAATTTTGTTTGCTCTTACCAAAGTCCAATACAATCAACTGCTGCTTTAATTCAGCCTTCTGCAGGGAATGTTCCAAGATCTCATGCTGTGCTCATAAAATTAGAGGCTATGGTTAAAATTCAGCGATGTGTTAAGAGCTGCTTTTGTTAGAAAGAGGCAGCCTGGCCCTAGAGATACACCCTGGGCCGAACAGCCAAGCTGGCGTGTGTGCAGAGCAGTGCAGGCATAGTGCAAAGTCCTGATGAACAAGACAGCTTATGCTACCATATATGCTCCGTAATGAGTTTCCTTGTGCATCATTACAGTGCAACACATGGTTCACAACAGCGTGAACAACTGACTGTTCAGTGAGGTGCGAGTTGTTGCCAACAGCTGTACCTCACTTGAATTAAGCCATTATTTACACACTGGGTTTTTTTCAGTGCTGGAGAGGCTGCAGATGCTCTGGCCCACAGAGATATGTTGAAAGCCTGTAGTCCGATCATGCCTTTGCCAGCTAGAGGAGAGGTGAAGAGCCGCCTTGAATGACAGCTTTCCAGACACAGCGCAGAGAGGAGGACTAGTTAAACAAGCTACCTGAGGCTTATTTGTCCTGGAGTGCCTGGCAGTATGGTAGGAGATACCTGTTAATAACTGAAGTGGAGCAGACCGAGACTTTAAGGCTTTTTCATAGGTGTTTTTTTCTACTGAGCTGTATTTAGCTGCTGTATTCCTTATTGTACTGTTGGATGAGTCAACATCCTTTAATATCAGCAGGCTACTTAATCTGCTGATCTACTATTATAAACAAATTTTTAAGAATAAAGGAAGCTTAACAGAAAGCTGCAGAGCAGCTAGCTGAAAACTGCGTAAAACAGTACTTTTCCTATAGCTGAAAATTATTAAACCAAGAGAGAAAAGTGACTTAAGATTTATTCCAACTGCAGTACAGTAGTAGTAATTAGTGTTTTAAAATTACACAAGAGTTTTGCATTTGAAGTAAACTGAAACTGGATGCAGCATTTACACCAATGATTAAGTCAGTTAATAGGCAAAACAATATACATGAAAAGCAACAGTCCAGTGTGCCAAGGTGTCGTGGTTTAATCTTAGCCGGCAGCTAAGCACCACACAGTTGCTTGCTCACTCCCCTCACAGCGGGATGGGGGAGAGAATTGAAAGAGTAAAAGTGAGAAAACTTGTGGCTTGAGATAAAGGCAGCTCAATAGGTAAAGCAAAAGCCACACACACAAGCGAAGCAAAACATGGAATTCATTCTCCACTTCCCATGGGCAGGCAGGCATTCAGCCATCTCCAGGAAAGCAGGGCTCCATTACACGTAACGGTGACTTGGGAAGACAGATGCCGTAACTCCAAACATCCTCCCTTTCCTCCTTCTTCCCCCAGCTTTTATTGCTGAGCATGATGTCATATGCTATGGAATATCCCTTTGGTCAGTGGGGTCAGCTGTCCCTGATGTGTCCCCTCCCAACTTCTTCTGCCCCCCCAGCCTCCTTGCTGGTGAGGTGGGGTGAGGAGCAGAAAAGGCCTTGACTCTGTGTAAGCACTGCTCAGCAACAACGAAAACATCCCTGTGTTACCAACACTGTTTTCAGCACAAATCCAAAACATAGCCCCATACTACCTTCTGTGAAGAAAATTAACTCTATCCCAGCCAAAAGCAGCACACAAAGTTAATGGCTAGCTAGCATTTGGCTCTGGAGATTGCATCACCATGAGCAGCTTGCCAACATCTGACAAATTCCATGTGGGGTTGTAAAAGGCAGTTGACACTTTTAATTTGGAGCTTAACGTAAATGCTAAGTTGTAATTTGTTGTAATTTGTATAAATATAATAATGTTGAGACCTGTAACTTTTGCATCACATCTTAAAGCAAGTTTAAGTAGAAGTGAGGGAGTAGATGCTGCAGCACAAAAATAGCCCAATCCCTCATACCAGTGTAAAAAACACACTGCAATCAACCAAGTCACAGGCACTTCTGTCTTGCACTACAGTATTTGAGCCACAAATGATGGATGATGAGAGTTAAAGCTTGCAACAGTTTGAAACCCGAGCCTTACCAAGTAGGTGAAGGTTAAATCCTCTTTCCCAGCTTCCTCACCCTTCCACACGGACATTCTTTAATGTTAAAGGCTACTATAAAACATAATTATCTAGTGAGGTATGGGATTGTTGATTGCTCCCATTTCTCTGTGGCTCTCTAGAAGAGCTTTGTATTGCTGTTACTTCAGTATAAAAATACACTATTAAAAATAACTTCTGTCATGGAAGTGTCTTCCAAGCAAGGTGAGAGTAGCATTACCCACTCCTAGGCTATTGGGTGCAGCTGGGAGGGACTACTAAAGATCTTGCAGACTTCGGGCCCAGGAGCCCGCACACAGACTAAGCTGACAAGCTGTAACAGTCAAATCCTCCGGAGAGATTTTTCTGATTTAAGGAGACTGGCCTAGTATCTTCTAACAGTCAGATCCCTCAGATGTGCCCCTCTGCTTAGAAAGACCTGGAGTTACCACACAAAGTCATTTAGCCTCCTTAGTTAGAAGAATATAAAGTTTCTTTTACAATTTCCCCAAAGCAGCACAGGGGCAAGCAGTTACTCCCCCCACCCCTTTCTCTACTGTTTGGTAACAGATTTCCCTGAGCTTATCAAGACTTTCCATATCACTGTAGCAGGAGAGGTGATACGATGCCACAGCTCAGACATAAACTATAACCATGCCCTTCTGTCCCTGAAAAGCTAATGCTCATCTGTAGAAGCCACAATGGCATCAGTCTGCTGTGAAGGACAGGAAGCCTTCCACCATACCATCCAAGGGTATTCACCCTTGCAGACACTATCATAGTCCTGAACACACCACATATCCTTTCATTTCACTAGCCCATCAACGGGACTGTGTACAAGGAAGGCAATATGACTGCCTGGAAGAATTCTTCTGTTCTCCTTTGCTCTAGTCTAGTTTTTGTCGAAAGAGGAATTAAATACTTAATAATCCCAGCACTTGGAAGAATAAAGCAGGAGAGGCTGTATCCATGCTCTATGTGTCATGCTCAGAAATTCTCTATAGGTTAAAAAAAAATAAAGGGGACGACATTTGGATACCAGCCAGCTCAGAGAAGAACAATGGGATGTTAAATTAAAAAAAAAAACAACAAGTTAAAAAGCCCACACAGCTCTCTGGTATTTTCACCGAACTCCCTGCAACAGTAAAAAAGCTTAAGTGCAAGATTTCCAAAAGCTCTGAAAGTGCTTTGGAGACCTGAAGGGTAATCAGTCCTTGGCTTTCGTATCTCTCATGGCAAGATCTTCGTGAATATCCAGCCTGGCCTGTACAGTCTTGCAGCCTTTATCAGAGTAGATTTTCTGCTCTTTTGGGAAGAACGTAATCTCGTCAACCACTGCTTGAACAATCTTCTCATCGACAGCATAGCCACGGGCTATCATTTCAGCCCTGATGCACATCTTCACATGCTTGTGCTCCAGGGGCAGGAAGGGGATAAAGTAGTCAATGAGGTTCCTGTCAATGAGGCTGCTGTGCCACAGTCCACCTGGAGGAGTTGGGGGAAAGGGAAAAGCAGGGCAGGGTCAAGAGATGAACCCTGTGTTATGAAGTAAAAGAAATTTCCCATTTTCTGGGGAAAGTGACTTACTATTCTTGTTATTGAAGGCTCCTACAGATAGCAAGGGCTCCAGGTCTTTCAGCTGAATCTCTTCCCTGCGCTTTCCACTTGTCCAGAAGTCAAAAGCTGCTTTATTAATTAAGTCACCACCTGCATTGCTATTCATAAAAGAAAAATGTATAGTGGTGAATACAGCCACAACTGAACCAGAATTTTTTTGTAGCCAGTTACATGTATTACTAATCTCTTGATGTCAAAAAAATCACTAAAACAGAAATCTGTAAGGTTTAGGGAAAATCTCCAGTTCCTACAAATTGCCATCAGTGTATGATGGGTTGATCCTGGCCAGCAGCCAAGCACCTACACAGCCACTTGCTTACTCCCCTCCCCGCCCTAGCAGGATGAAAGGAGAAAATAGGAAGAACAAAAGTGAGACTTACGGGTCAAGATAAAGTCAGATTAGATTAATAGATCATGAAAAGAGGAGGAAAAAACCCCAAGGAAGGCTGAGGAAATCACTCACCACCCCCATGGGCAGACCAATGCCCAGACAGTCTCCAAACAACCATTACCTTGGAAGCTGAAACCCCCCTTCTTTCTCTACCCCAGTTTTTACTGCTGAGTATGACATTACATGGTATTGAATATTCTCCTGGCCAGTTCAGGTGTGGTGTCCCAGCTGTGTCCCTTGCCAATCTCTTGCCCACCCCAGCCTGCTCGCTGGGGGCAGCATGGGAAAAAGAAAAGGCCTTGAGGCTGTGCAAGCATCATCCAGCCACAGCCAAAACACTGCTGTGTTATCAACACTGTTTTAGCCACAAATCCAAAAGAAGCACCAAACTGGCTGCTGTGAAGACAGTTAACTCCATTCCAGCCAGACCCAGTACACGCCGCACCCATCCCAGAGAATTTCCCCAGAATGTGAACTCTCATACAGTCTGAGCTCTGGGCCAAGTTCGTGAGCTTACCATGCTGCAGTCACCTGCTGCACGGCATCAGAGCTGCTCCACTGCAGCCACAGGCCAAGCGAGAGCTCATAGTGCTCCCCTCTGTCTTCACAGAGAGGGTCTCTGCCCCAGAGCAGTTTTGTTGCTGTTCTTTCAGTGAGGTCCCATAGGAACATTATTATCATCGTAAACAGATTTATCTCACTATCCCAAAATGACTGAAATCTGTGCTACAGACCTGAGGAAGATGAAGATGGCTCTTCTGTAGGACACTCCATCAACCTGCTCGTAATAGTCTAGGAATGGCTTGATGGCATCAATGAGACCCTGGTGCATTTTGTCCATCTCATCAAAAATGAAGACAGAGTGGGGACAGGCACTGACATTGCCCCGAATCCAGTTCTGCAGTTGTTCCTGGAGCAATAGGTTGAAAAAACACTGAAAAACTAAGTCTGTTGGGGATGTACTGCAAAATGGTTGTATGTGACAGCCTCTAGGGACACCCTTTCAAATGTCAGCATCCCATACTCACTGGTTATACCTTTTCCTGAAGAGGGGACCATAAACTCTGTGACTGATCCCTTTAACAGGTGACACTGAATTTAAATGCGAATTCTTTTCCTGATCACAGAGGAAAGACTTTCTCATTCTTTCTGCTTAGTGTGTGGATAAGGTACAAAAACCAGTCTGAGATGGAAAATCTTGAAGAAACCTTATTTTTGTTTAAGAAAAAAAACCCATGTTTCCTCTTTCATATAAAAACCGCATCTATCAGAACATCAGTTTTGTGCACTTTCAAACATTAAAACATGAAGATCAGAAATTATGTCAATGAATGAATCCACCTGAAAAATCTCTCATGTGGGCCACACTTTCTCATTGCACAGTGCGTGGTGGGTTGTCCCAGCCAGCAGCCAAGCAGCCCAGCAAGGTGAGAGAGGAGGAAGAATAAAGGCAGGAAAACTCACAGATTGAGATAAAGACATTTTGATAGGTGATGGAAAAAGAAAAAAAAGAAAACAAGCAAAGGGAATCACTCATCCCCCTGACACATACAGACTAACGCCCAGCCAGTGTTAGAGCAATAACCACCTTGGAAGCCAACACCCTCCCCTTTTTCCTTCTTCTAGCCCAGTTTTTATTGCGGAGCGTGACAGCATATGGTACTGCAACCAACTGGGGTCTGCTGTCCTGGCTGTGTCCCCTCACAATCTCTTGCCCACCCCAGCCGGCTCACTATGCATGGGGAGAAAAAGCAAGCTTCGGGGCTGTGCGAGCACCGTTCAATAACAGCCAAAACACCACTGCGTTATCAACACTGTTTTAGCCACAAACGCAAAACACGTCACCGCAGGGGCCAACCAGTACACGCAGTTTTCATGACAGGATTCTTTCCTAACAGCAAGCACCGCAGAAATCAGCAGATGGCATCAGTGAGAGGACGGCACTAAGAAATTGCTCTCACTTTCGATTTCCTGGCATTTTGGTGCCTTTCACTTTCTGCACATATCTCCCCCTCCATCTCTCCTAAGCCCCAATTTCGGAAACACCCAGCTGTACACCTCCAGTCATCAGGTACCTGGGGGACCCGTGCAGCACTAACAGCCAAACCCCCGCACCAGGGGGTTTAGGGACTCCGGGTAACTTGGATTTCCTTGTGTCCTCCCTCACCTTGTAGAATTTGACTTGGTCGTGGTGGGGGAAGTGCAGGGTGGCCAGGAAGAGATGGACAAACTTGCTGCGCAGGCCGGTGCGATGGACATTCTCTGCCAGGATTTGGGCAAGGAAGTTCTTGCCGGTGCCGGCCCAGCCGTGGAGCGAGAGTGTCAGCGGCTTCTTGGGGCTGGGGTTGTTGCTGAAGCCCATCACCGCCTTCAGCACCACGTCCTTGGCCAGGTGCTGCCCGAAGAGCCTGGTATCCAGCTGCTCCTTCAGTGCTGCGGGGAGAGGGAGAGCTCAGCATCGCATGGCCACCAGCGGCT